CAAAACATTTACTAACCAATATCGAAATCATAATCTTCAATATGTGCGTCGAGACAGTTCTACTGTTGTGTCAGTTATTATGTTAAGCCCATATACCATATACCATATGCCAATCTATTCATTCTAATTGAGTCATATTTTGACCTTCTTAATTATTCGCCTATCAACCTTGACAGTTTTTATATGAGCGTGTACGTGTGTGTACACTTTTTATCTTATTCATCACGTGTCTGTAGCCTATTGTTGTGTGACCACAAACATTGATTAACTCTTGGCTAAATGGAGTTGGCTTACTCGCCATCTCCAATGGGCGTCGTTTCGCTTCTCTTTATTCCATTCGCTTCATATATAAAATATATGTATTCATTGCATTATTGACTAACGCGATTTAGGTCAATGATTATATACGAGGATAGGCGACATATACATTTCGACAGCAATTATTCAATAGCAATCGTTCATACGATCTACTTGGAGTCAGATCCTGGGCCACTAAAGTGGAGAGCCCGTCGTCAACATCGTCCGATCTAAATGACGACAAAATAAAGAGTCCCAATAGACTACTGTACGGAGGTAAAACTTGAAGAACTACCACAACCATCATCAAGAAGGTACAAGTATTTATAAATAGATGTCTACGCAAGATACTCAACATCCATTGACTGGATACTATCAGCAACACCCTACTGTGGGAGACAACAAACCAGCTTTCAAATAAAGAACAAATTAGGAAAACACATTAGAAGTGGATAAGACATACATTAAGGAAACAATTAAACTGCGTCACATGGCAAGCCATAACTTGTGTTCCTGAAGGGAAGAGGAAAAGATAGAGACCGAAAAGAAAACTGCGTCGGGCATTGGAATCAGATATGAAAATGATGAATAAAAACTGGAAAGAGCTGGAAAGGTTAACCCAGGACAGTGTTGGTTGGAGAGTGCTGGTGGGCAGCCTACGCTCCTCGACGAAGGGTAACAAGTGTAAGTAAATAAGTGGTTTTAGTTAAGATGTTTGTGATAAATGCTTTTCTCAGATAAAACCAACAAGCTATACATAAAAGGAATTCATTAACTATTCATTATTATTATTATTATTATTATTATTATTATTATTATTATTATTATTATTATTATTATTATTATTATTATTATCAGCTTTATTCAATATTATATTTTTGGTACAAGATAGAATTATCAGAGCAACATATTTCAACAAGTTTCTTTTTCTTTCTTCTTGGTCGGTCCTGGCGATAAATATTGAGTGATCGCCTGTTAGATATTAGCAGTTCAGTAAATGAACACCTGAATAATGTACATTCTTTTCGTTGTATATTGTCAGCAACCACATTGTCTCTTATTGAGTTTTTTGTAACTTTGATAACGAAAGGTTGTACACTTTTCAGAAACGCAGCAGAATAGTTTATGCAATTAATAAACATAATGATATATTAAAATAAACAAAAATAGATAACTTGTTGAAATGTCTAAATGGAAGGAACAGGTAGCCCAGATGTTCAAGCAGGCCGCCCTATGTTTCTAACTTTCTTTTCTTTAATTTTGTTATGTATATTCATGCTACTTTGAAATAATTTTTTTATGTAATGGTCAAACTACTATGAAAAGTCTTTTCAAACTTAACAAATCTCTTGAATTCATTTGGTCCAGTTACATCTATTTGTCAATGGACTAGAACCAATATAAATTTTTTACTTCAAAAACTAAGAAGGACAATACTAAGGTGAATTTCTACCCCTGTCGTTTAAAGAGCAGTTATACATCGGATTATATTTGCATAGTTTTCTTCAAATTAGTATCATGTATTTATTCATACTGTAATGAAGGAGAACACCGGTGAGGACAACCGAACTATATTTAGCACAAAATTACAGTTACTTGGTAAAATAGAAAAACCATACTATTATACTTAACTCGCAAAATGTTCAATAATTGTCTTGAACTTCGTCGTTTTTGCATTTCCATACTAATTGCTTTCTATTTCGGCTCTTCCTTTCTTGATCTTCCCTATTTTCTGATGCCAGACATTACATTCCTGACTCGCGTCATATACTACTTATATCAATATAAGTAGTATGCACCACGATACTATTGAGAAATATGACAATCAAAATATCAAATAAAATCTTCACAATGTCCAATTTATTTCCAATAATCAATCAATCAGTCAATCATTCAAATCTATGGAATATCTAGATAATCCAGATCGTCTAGATATTATAAATACAGATCAACATTATTCTTGGTTATATGACTGACGAACATCATCAAGAGTTAATAATAATAATAATTCATTATAACATCTTACTTTCTGTTCTATTTTGGTTAAGTGAATCATTGTCAGACACGATTATCAAGTCTATACTAAAGGGAACTAAAGGGAAAAATTAAACACATGATTACAGTTATTGTATCGTCATCAAACGACATCATATGAATGTAATGACCAATATTACAGTCATATTATTGAGTGATGTTCGTTTGGTTTTTCATCAATCTATTTCATCCATATTATACTTGTGTATAGATAGGTGTTGTGAACAGGTAACCACCATGTTACTATGGTCTATTCTATATAAGAATCAACTTAATTTGTTTATATGATATAGACACTATATAAACGGTTGATTATTATTATTATCAATATGGAAAAGGTGCTAGATGTTAAATTTTTTGACATAATTAAAACTATTCAATATCCTGTTAAGGTTTTATAAATTTCTTTATTTTGTATTGAATTCAGTAATGATTTTAAAGGTGAATGATTAAACTATCTTACTATTTAGATCGGATCAAAATTTGAGATCATCCTTGATAATCTATATGACGAGAACTGTTCATACCACTATATTGATATTTGTTTGCTTAATTATGATTCATTTTGAATAATAGTTTTGTGGTGACCTACTTTTATTAAGAGAATGCGATTGGTATTATGGAAACAATTAGTATTATAACCAACTGTACCAGCGATTGTATTACCGTACTCTTTTGTTTGACTGTACCAAAACACATATATTCTTCCGTTGATTGTGACCTTGCATGAATTTGGTTACACTCAGTGACCACACATGTACTCCTTTGACACGATCTCTGTATTCTTTCGACACCACGAGATCGCCAACAAATACATCTCGACTGCAACCATCAACGGCCTTCTGATATTTGGCTTACGGGGGATCTCATAGGTTAACTGGCACATAGTCTTCCTGTAGTGGTGATCATAGTCGACCGCGACTCGACGCCCCATTACAGTTTAATCAATTCAATAGTGATAAATGATGTTTGTTAAATTGTTGAAATGATATTTTGATTGCAGTTAATCTTCTGAATCTTAATCTGTTGTTCAACAATTTTCAAACAACATTCCGAATTTCTGAGTTTGTATAATATACACTTTAGGTTTGTAATATAAACTCAAATGAAACAATCATATTCATCTTCGTACTGTAGTGTCACTGACTATGTTAAACCCATTTAATTTATTTTAGCTTCTGAACAGATCAATTTATTCATTACTTTTAAGCTACATTTCGGTCTTGTTAATTATTCACTTATTAACCAGCATATCTGTGTATACATTTCTTATCCGTAAATCGAGTTGTTTCACATACATGTTAGGAAAAAGTCTAATCTAAAACATCATGGTCACTAATAATATGCATCAAAAAGAATGTACATTATTCAGATGTTGATTCCTGAACTGCCAACATCTAACTGACGACTATTCAATATTTACCGTCATGATCGATCAGGAGTAAGAAATGGAAACTTGTTGAAATACTTTATGCTGAGGATTTTATGTTGTATTATTGGATAAAACCACTAATAATAATAATAATGATAATAATAATAATAATAATAATAATAATAACGACATTAATAACCATTGCACACATTTTAACAGATATGACGAGCAAAGTTAGAAAAATACATCTGTATCTGTACATCATCATGTTACAACCAATGTTCGGTCTTCTTGGTTTTCAGTACTGAACAAATTCCACCAGTCTAAATATGAGTTCAATTCTATTATCAATACTTCGAAACTGTATCATCATTTATTTTGTGTTTAGTCTTTGGAAACAAATTGGGAGAAAGCATAATATCGGGTTAAGTTATTTAAATGTTAGGTAGTCACTTAGCCATAACCAATATCATATTGTCAGGCTTTTAGTTTTTTTATCGAATTCCAAGTTCAACGTTTATTGCTTATCGAAACTAACCACCCAAAGCCAAATGAATTTCATGTCAATGTTAATTTACTGAGAATAGTTGCCATATTGTCATGCAACTCGTTGAAATCAATTAACATTAAGAGATAGATGATTTGAGAATGGTTACTACTAAATAACTTATTAGTGTACTAGTCTCAATCCCAAATTAGGTTAGTTGTCGTTCATAAATCCTAGTAATAGTATCTTTGACTGAGACATTTCGTGATACTTTTTCGAACTACAAATGGGCATCTGTTGCAGTAGCAACTATCATGAAACCCAAGTTTTCATCGCCATGTTGGTTGTCTTTAGCTACTTTAAATCAAATCAAATTAGCAATAGCAACAAGATATAAGCTGATAGCTTGTAGATTATATAACAACCAACCTACTGCCAAACTTATGAGATATTAATGTCAAATAGGATTTTATGTTGAAATTAATGATGTCTTTTTAATTGTTGAAATCACGATCCTATTAAAGCTAAACCACCATGAAAAACCTGGAAGCTCTGGACGGCCGTTTCGTCTTATTGTGGGACTTCTGAGCAGTGCGCAGCCACCATCTCGCCCCGTAAAATCCGAACCCAGGACCTATCAGTCTCGTGCGCGAGCGCTTAACCACCAGATCACTGAGCCGGTCAGCATCCAGCGGTGTAGTTGTCTAACTTCAACCAATCCAAGAAGTCGTGTCATCGTCCACTATTGTCATCAGTGAGTTGATATCTCATAAATGAGGTGTTCTGAAATTCATTCTAACCAATGAATTTTAATGGAACACTATTTATTACAAACTTATTATTATTGTTAATAGTGATAGCAGAGAAGCAGTGATAAAACAGATCCATGACAATGTGAATAAATACATTATAAAAAAAATCATTTTTTCGGTCAATTTTATGGATCAAAACTGATCTCAAAAGTAAAAGTAAATCATGAAGAGTGTCATAGCAACAACCTTTTCGAGAGAAAGAGAGAGAGAGAGAAAGTTTTAATGAAGCGCTACTTTTGAAATAAATAGTAAACAATAAACTTAAATAGTGAAAGGCGGAAAAATCATATTTTTTATTGAATATCGGAATAAAGATTTAATTATACATGAATAACATTTTGATAGTTAAAAAGCAAAAAAACACCAAAAAACATTCTATAGTTGTCTCATTCTAGAATAAATAGTGTGAAATATTGTTTAAACCTTTAAGATTGCATGAATTCTCTTTGAACATTTTACTTCCTCTTTACTATCATAGTTATCATATTAAGCGTAAATATGATCAATTTTGACTGTCATTTGAAAAGGGCTTCATGATAAGCATATTGATAACAGTAGGAGGGTAAGATAGGAATGATAATTCTGATGATGTAATTGTAAATAAGCAGAAAGCCTTATGAAATAAATGAAGATTAGACGCAATTGATGATCGTTTTAATGTGAATCAACAATATGACGTTGCGCTCCAAAGCTCATACCAGATTGTGAAGCCACTTGATCTTTACCTGCGCCCATTTGTAAGCTGATGACACCTTGACCTTCTTTTGACATATCACCAACTTTAATATCTGCAATATGTCTCTGACCACCATGACTCATTCCAGCTTGACTAGCACCTTTGTTCGAACCCATTTGAAGACCGATTATACCCTGACCTTCTTTTGACATATCACCAACTTTGATGTCTGCAATATGTCTCTGACCACCATGACTCATTCCAGCTTGAGTAGCACCTTTGTTTGAGCCCATTTGGAGACCGATAACACCTTGACCCTCTTTCGAAGCAGCATCTACTTTAATATCTGTGATATGTCGAGGTCCCCCATGACTCATTCCAGCTTGAGTAGCACCTTTGTTTGAGCCCATCTGGAGACCAATAACACCCTGGCCTTCTTTTGAAGCGGCATCCACTTTAATATCTGTAATATGTCGAGGTCCACCATGACTCATTCCGGCTTGACTAGCACATTTATTAGTTCCAGCTTGCAAACCAATTATGCCTTCGGATGCTCTAAGTTGTTCTTCAGTGAACTCACGTTTATTTTCATAAGTTGGCTTGGGGCCACATACGGGTCCATTAAAATTGTTACGTTGACACTATTTGAGAAGAAGAAATATTTCCCTCAAGCATTATCGAATATTAAACATTAATTATTAAAGATCTTATAAACACTGTAACATTCATTTGATATGAAACAGTTTGTATCTGAATACAAATTACTTATTATGAAAAAAATGTAGTATCCTCAGTCAAGATTTGAGACAAAATTCTCACTTAATTCTATCTTTCTTACCATCGTTAATAATCAGTAGGAATATAAAACTATGTTAGAATGTATAAAGTATTTGGAGGTAAGAATTCCAAGCAGTTCTCCACAAAAACATAGCCAGTAGACTTGTAACGGTTATTCGAACAAAGCTGTTTGAATTGCAATCTCTGATTCATCAAAATCAGACTTGTCTGAATCAAAAACCCAATATTCTAAGCATCTGGGCATCCTAAACCATTTAATGCCAATACAGATAGTTACCGATTGAAGATATGGGTCTCGGGCCGAAATGAGGTCAACTCCAAACTTATTTCACATGGTACCTCAACTATCCTTTAAGCACCTTCTCCAGCTCCGCTGATGTAAGGAACCTCACCTGTTATAAATACTAAGTAAGTGTTTTATGACACGCATGCATAGACAGAAAATATCTTGTAATAAGACCCATTCTTAAATATTGCTTAATTTTTTAACATGACTTGGTGGTAGATTAAAATATCACTGTTTTCATCTTAATCTACTTATGGCTAATTAAGTAGTTTAAATATCTTAAAAACATTTTGGAATCATATCGTAGTTGCTCGACAGTTGATGTAGCTTTTTAATGAAGACGATCTTCCAATGTTAGTTTATTTAAGTGCTTTAAAAATGTGGAAAAAATTTTTGTCTTCAATTAGCATCTGTTCAAGAACCATTGAGTGATTGCAAAACTCAGCCATATAATTTACTATGCTCCTGAATGTTATCAACACATTCATAAAATATATCACAATTAGTACGCGGAAAATAAAATCAACATAACTCCTTTTTGTACACAATTAGGCTAACATTATGTACAACGATCAACGTTGAAGAGACAATGAAATGTGGTGGTTGGTATGTACTGAGAATTAAAAGATGGTCTGATTCAAGTCCTTATGCTACTAGTATCGCCTCAAATTAGATGTGAAACTAACGTAATTTGATATGGCTTTATCTCTGAATAATATGAGTAGTTTCTATTTTCGGTATACAACTAAATTGAATGAAGGAATTTCTATAGACCACAAATTGATGACTTTGGTTGAACATAACTTTCGTCCTATTTGGCACTCGTCAACTGGATGTACATACATCCCGGAGTTGATGTTCACTCAGAGAATCGAACCCAGTACCGTTCGCTTCAAACGTCATCGCTTTATCCACTTATCTACTGAGTCCTGATAGCCACCTACTTGTGCAGTGGGATGAAGTTTAAATTCCCCTGGTATTGTTCGCTCGTATCATCCCATGGTTGCTTAGGATTGCAATCGATCTGCAATACTATCGATCGGCCAAATAAGATTTTTGATAAATAGTTTGACTCAATTTATACTTAATTTCATGGTGAATAAATTAAATACAACAAATAATTATAAACATAAAATATGTATGTTAGCGGGATGTGGATTGGATTAAAGCACATTCCGTGCACGATTGTGTTGGTACACTGACTGGTTATTTCTTATCCAATCAGCGCTAGTGAATACTTGGAGAAGACTCTAGAATTTTCTCATGTAGAAACTATAAATATACTAACGTTTTTTCTTATTCTGCTCCTTACTTCCATTTATTCTGGTTATTTGGAATGTAATTTCATTCCTGTTTAACCGTATTCAGATTTGGCGACTTATCGAGTGAATTCTTGTCCAAAAATATTATTCAATTGGAATAGCTAAGTCGTAATAAGAAAAAATTATAACAATGTAATTATTCACTAAACTAACCTCAGTTCCAAGTTGTAGTAATGTATTTAAAACTTGTGGCATATTGCGTAATTCATACAAATCAACAGTTTGAAATAAACTAGCTCTGGGTACTCCATAGGCTACTGCTGCATTAAGAAAAGTTTGAATGTTTTCCATCTAAAATAATTGCACAGAAATAACAGTATACATAGTCTACAAAGAATATGAGTTAGGCAACAATTGCTCCTTTATTAACTTTGTTTCTTTCACTAATAACTCAGACAAGTACGAATCTGAAGGAAATAATAGTGATGACGAAGTCAATCTACAAATTTCAATCTTTTTCATGTCTAATCTTAATTACAACCTAGTTTTCAGTATAATTTGACCTTCAAATATAGTATTCAATCATAACAGAAATTCTGTTTTTCGTTACAAATTTAAATACATCATCTTATGCTACAGAAGTAAAATCAATTCAAAAATGAAGAATATTTGAGCTCAAATATTCTTCATTTTTGAATATTCTATGGGGATTTTTAAACTGCTAAAATCAATTCATCAGTATAATGGAAGCGTTGTTGTTAAATCTCATTTGCCACTCATCGGCACACTTAAGAAACATATACCCAAACAATCAAATTCAGAATTGTACACAGAAACCAGAGATATGATGGCAGACAGACCCTTTCAAAGCTTCTCGCCGTTCTGTTTCAACGACCTTTAACGGCCTCACAAGAGACCGTCATTCCGTATTTCAAGTACTGTGAGTGTTGTTGTGAGCAACAAATACGCCATACTACCAATAAACTGGAATAAAAGCTGTGTAACAAGCACAAACATTATTCGAATTGAAGTGTGACGGAAAACATATTGTTTATAGCTGATAAATAACGACATCCCAAAATCCTGGACAATATGTAACATGTGCGAGAAAACCCATGGCTTAACGTCTTGACCATGTAGATATGTTTTATGATGTAAATAAATTTCCTATTGAAATGAAGAATAGTTTTAGGATGAAAGAAGAGACCAACAAAATAAACTCTATGCAACATTCATACGTTTTAATGTCCTATTCTGCTTATTCTAATGATCCAGTCATGCCAAAGTTGAAAATAAGTTAGCGAAAAATATTTCAAGCTCAATTCAATGGGAAGGTACCATGCAACAATGAACTGGGATCGGGCAATGATAAAAATAAGTTCATAGATAGTTTTGAAGCCATCAACAATTCAGATCTAACCACCAAATGTCACTCGAAATTCCCAGAAAGTTTTCTTAACTTCAAGTTCATTACTCTCAGTTTTATTCTTATAATATTCAGCTGAGTCTACAATATGTGGCTGCTCACATTATTACAAATCAGTTCATAAGAGAAGTTTTCAATTTGAGGAGGAGGGAGCTACAAATCTTCTCCACCATCTCAAAATCATATGAGCGAAATACGCTTCTCATTGTTCAATAATGGGAGAATTTCGCTAAAAGACAGGCTTCTACTATAGAACAACTGTATTTTCTCCACGAGTGTCTTCCTCAGCATGGTCTATCAACAAGTGCAACAAACAGACCTTCAATCAACTACCCATTGGAATGGAGAATATCTGAGCGAAGTGGGAGAAAAATGATACACCTAATGATAACGAATCCACATTATAAGATCCTCAAATAAACACGACCAAAACCATCCAGCTCAGAGAATAAAACTCTATCAAAAGTTAAAAAAAAGTTTCTTTTTATAGGCCACTAGACATTACGTAATTTTAATATTATTATTCGTTCTCAACCTACGATTCTACTTACCTGTTTAAAGGGAGCTGTCATTGTATTAGCTTTGAATGGTCTTTTCATTTTAGCTGCAGCCGATGGAAGAGATGCAGTACCATCAAACACGACATTAATCAACCTATTTATTGGATGACAGGGATTCATTCAAGTGAAATTTTATTTAACAAATAAACAAAATAATATAATAAAAAGCAACCAATAACGTTAGAAGTAAATTTTTGCAACTGAATCATACTGTTATTACTCAGATCTCTTTAAACTAAAGGTAGTATTGTTATTGTTGTGTATGCTGAAAAATTTGTTTACACTGAACTTTACATAGATCATAACATGTTCATCATCTTGATATGACGATTGTTTGTCCGGATGGCATTTCAAACACACTTTCTAGTAAGATGGTGGTTGCAAGTAGCCTACAGGGAAATGTGAACCTAGAAAATCACTACCTTCCATCTTAACATTGTGAACGCAATGTCGAGTCACTTGGACTAGTAGGGTGACTGAAAGTTGGTTGATAAAATTCGACCAGCATTAAGAACGACTTGACACACATGATATTAGTCAATAGCCAGTAATCAATCAATAGTAAACATACTTCTATATTAACTACATATCAAACCACCTCTAACGTAACAACGGTGTTATTATGTGGTTGGGTTCGACTCGTGAGGGCGGGATCGCCGATGAGCACTGATGGGGAGTCCCATATAAGTATGAGACGGTCACACAGTTATTCCACGTTCGCAAGAGTGGTCTTACATTGATCAGCTCATGATCTCAATGAAATAGTGACAAGGAATAACGACTACAATCCCCGTGATCATCAGGAAATTATTACTATGAACGTAAACTTCAAATTCAATGGTGAAATGTATCGACAAACAGATGGTGTCGCGATGTGTTCACCCCTAAATACCATATTGACTGAAATTTTTCTGACTAAACCAGAAAATGGTGCACTGGCACGGCAGACTGACAAGTTTTTATTTTACTGCCGATATATGGACGATACGTTCATTCTTTGTGAACTTGAGCGATTTAATGAGGTTCATCCGTCCATAAAATTCACATGTGAGGAAGAAGACAGAGGTAGAATAGCCTTTCTTGATGTTCTACTGGCAAGATGTAAAGATGGGCCATTAAGAAGAAACATAAAAAACTACTTCGACCATCCAATACACAGGTTTTCTTAGTTTTGTTCCTCTACAATACAAAAGGAACCTGATTAAGACTTATAACTATAGGATCAAGACCATATTCTCCCTAGATGCTGTTGAAGACGAAACAAACGCATTGTATACGACCCTGAAAGAAAATTGATATTCGGAGCGATTTAAAAATAAACATTTGACCGATAAAGGAGAGCATAAGGAATGCCTAACTGCGAGCGAAAATCCTCTATATATGCGATTACAATTTAGAGGTAATGCACCTAATGAAATGCTAAGACCAAAGTTACACAGAGTAATCCAAAGAACTTTTAATACAGATAAACTACAACTGCATTTTTCTACACCTCAGATGATCACACCGAGGTTGAAAGATAAATTACCTAAACTAGCCACTACTCCTGTGGAGCAAGTTATATTGGTAGGTGTTCTAAGAATTTGTTTTTTCAGGTTTGCGAGCACCTCTCAGCGTGTTTAAGCAAAGGTGTAGTTAAAACTGTTAATAACTACATTTTAGTTCATTTAGTACAAAAGCGCCATACAACCAATATGGAGCAATTTTTCACAATAAAATATCGTGTTAACAGAAGTCTGCCTAAATTCGTCAGACGTAGAATCCTGAAGACTGTTGAAGCAATCGCTATACGTATCAAAAAGCCAAAACTTTGTATCGAAAACAAATATGTTCAACAGTTCCTTTTACTGTAACCAACTTCGGGTCTTATTAGTTAGTAATCAATTTTATCACATGGTAACGCAATTTGACCAATGTTCATTATTACGCTAGCTAACATTTTTTTGGAAAATTTATTCAGCATCCATCCCTATCTACTATGTCTGACCTAATTCACATTATTCTGCATATTTCGTAAGTTCTCATTTTTAATTACATTATTCTCTCTCTTTCACTCCATTTTGACCATATTTGTTCTGATTATTTATCTCACAATTTCATTTCACTTATAAACTGATTCAAGTTAACACTTCATATCATTCAGCCTCAACATGAACGATTTTATTTTATTTTATATGACAAACAACAATCCTTGATTCATATGTAATTATTTTAAGTGACATACTCACCCTGGAGCCCCTCTGGGTCTCAAATTCAGATAAAGGAGGAGGGTTGGGTGAGTGAGTGAGTAAGTAAAAAACTGACTTTCTAAAAAACTCTACTTTGCATTAAACCTGGCCAATTTTATAGATTATTCATTTTGATATGTAATTGTAGAAGCTGATGAGAACAAAAACAGAATTGCTTAAATGAGCTGAATAGTATTGAGTACAGAGAAACAACTCTTAAAGAAACTACAATACTCAGCGAACAGTTGATTTCAGTCTTCGATGAGACTACCAAAGTTTGTAATAAAAATTCTGACAAAGATTCTAATTATTAAGAGTACTTTTAACTGATATCTCCTGTTTGAATTTTCTTAAGAAAATGTTCATATTTACTTGATTAATATCTGTCCATTTTTCAAAGCAGCTGCAACATTTTCTCTGCCAAATGGTACATTTTCGTTTGTTAATTGATTTAACCAATTGATGGCTTCAGCTTCACTCTCTGCATCATATTTACTATTCAACTGGTATAGAAAACAAAATGAAATACATGAAAGACTTCAAGTCTTAAAAACAAGAACAATTTCCAGGCATAATTGATAAAATATCCCAATGTTGAGGAAACTTGATTTATTACACAATTCATCTTACATTTATGGAATTTATTAAGTCATGAACCAATTGATGTTAGGCCACCATTGAAAACCTGGAAGTACTGGACGGCCGTTTCGTCCTAGTACAGGATTCATCAGTAGTTCGTATCCACGTGACCAGTGGAGCTAATCCATGTCAGTAGAGACAGGAATCTACCTCAATACAATGGAAGATGATCGCGCAATTTCGTGGATTGGTTGAGGTTAAAAATTAACACCGTTGGATGCCGGCTCAGTGATCTAGGGTTTAAGCGTCCACGCGCGAGACTGATGGACCTGGGTTCGAATCCCGCGGAGGGAATTGTGGATGTATACTGTTGAGGAGTCCCACAATAGGTCGAAACGGCCGTCCAGTTCTTCCAGATTTCCATTGATGGTCTAACATCAATCGGTTCATAATCTCAATCAAAAAATATATGGAGTTATTGATACCAAAGAATAAAAAAGACACAATAGTTATTGATTGATAATAGCTCTCAAGGAAGTATAGATTGAATTACATTCCATTGTAAGTACATTAATCAATGCCTTATCAACTAGCATCTTACCTTAAGGTTAAAAGTTGGTGTAACATATCCTTTAATTAATATTAGGTATATTATAGCTTCTTAACAAAAAAACTTACACTTGTACTTTTATATTAGGTTACCTAATATTTTTCACCTAATTTTTTATATAACTTACCTTGGAAAAGCGAATAATTACAATAATGTTCTCTCTGCGAATAGGCTATAGTGTCATCTATACTTGATTGTTTTCTGTCTTATTAAAACAGATTAATTTTGTTTGTGAAAAAAAGAAAAAAAGATTTTGTACCGGTATTTAATACTTCAAGCTAGAAAAAATTATTCATAAATTGAATACTTAAAATATTCAATAGTCAATAAATCAGGTGTTATCTTAGTAAATCTTTATTCAAACTTTTAGAGAGGTCATTCTATGGTGTGTGTTACTGATGTCTACAGATATAAGTAGTATGTATTATCAATCAAAAGTGATATGCCTAGCGGAAGAAGGTTAAAAAGATTGAAGAGAAGAGGACGAGAGCAAAGAATAATTGATGTGGAAACGAAACAACAATGAAGTCTGAGACGATTAACTGATATTTGCAAAAGGAACAGTCACGTTTGAGACAATTGAGAGACATTTTGCTAATGAAGTATTTACCGTATGATTTTCAGATTTTATTAAGATCTTCTATGATTACGTGTTGAGATACGTTTGAGTGACTCCAACTTGTGTTCTCATTCACCAAAATTCAACCTTTAAAACAGTCTGAAATATATTTGGATAAACGTGTCTTACATTTAATTGTAGAAAATTCCAAATAATCATGAATAGTTTCTTCAAACATGACTGTTATATCAAGTCAGTATAATTGAACTATAATTTAAAACAGCTGTTAAGCAAAATTAACTTTAGGATTACATTATCCGAATACGTCCATCCATAAAAACGACCATTTTCTTCTAAAACTGGTAATTTTATGCTACGACTATTACTATTGTAAGAGATACTTAAATTTTTTGTGGATATTATAGTAATTTTAATAGTTGAAATCATTAGTCAATTGAAACAAGAACACCATAGAAAACTTGGAAGCACTGGACGGCCGTTTCACCTTATTGTGGGGCTCCTCAGTAGTGCGCATCCACAATCCTTATTTCATGGATTAATACGTTTTATCCCATTCAAACACATGACAGTTTCGAAGAAAAAACTCTCTTAGAGAATAACTGAATGTATAGATCTATTAATCATTATTTAACCTGCATAAACCTGAGTACTTTGAATCATTCTTTTTTTATACAGATCGTGTTAATTAACTACCACACAGCTCACAGTTACACTTCTTATATTTTGTTAGTCTGTTAAGTGGACATTTAGGTGAAAAGGCAGTGTTTTACTCACTCTACAAATTAGTTATATCTAGCAGGAATAAGTAGTCCATTTGCTTTAACAGACAAGTAAATAACTTGATAAACTAAATATTCAAATATCTATGTAATAGTGAAATATAATGATCATCCTACAACTTAATATGTTTGAATCAAAGTCGTTATCATAAAAGTAGATCATAAACTATACCATCAATAACTGTTGAACAATAATGAAATATTAACAGGTAACTTATAAGTATCATTGATTATACTCTGTAACTAAATGTTTAAACTCTTCTGTACATGGTGCCTTAGTTGTTTATCAAATAGGAGATTACATTAATAAATAGATTTAGTTTATTAAAAATTTCATTTTTAATTAGTGCCCTGGTACGGTCAAGAGTGGGGAGAGTTCGATCTCTCTATCTCTCTAAATGCTCTCACATAACCACGTGTATACACCCACTGCCAGGGAAGTTCTACTCACTACCTTCTCATGGCACTACTGCTGTTTAAGAAATTAAGAGGACGAAAAACGAATGTCCGACCTTTTAACAGGGTCGGTGGATATAGAGGATCCACGTAGGGAAGTTGAAAAACCCTGATTCCAAACTAATCGTTCACACGCACTCCAGTATCCTGATTAAACAAATGGGGTACGAACCAATTATTGTTCACCAGCTACCATGAGACTGCATCTCCTGACATTGCTCCACTGCCTTGTTGATCAGACCTTTAGGTCATAGGCTCAAGGTGTGGCAGCATGAGTAAACAATCTGCTTCGGTCTGGACACCCGGTCAATATCCCAGCTTTCACACAAATTGAATGATTTATGTGGCTCATGTCTATCTGGTGCCTTATTGTACCAATGTTTATGTGCTTAAATGCAGAAATAAATAAATTTAATGTTTCGTCTATTATCGCATGATATGATAATTGAGAATAATTTGGTATTTAACTTACCCGACGATTGATCTGTACATCCATACCCATATCGCTCATTCGTGTAGCCATTTTTTTCTTTTTAGTTACCTTTTCTTGAGAATTAATGCAGAGTTTAGAAAGTAAAACAATTCAGATTCAATCTATTTGACGAAAGATTTTATGATGAAAATAGTTCACGATTTCAAATTATAGTCACCTTCAAAATTGTGTAAAGTTTTCTATCAATAATTGCTGTTGTAGCCTTGAAAGGTTTTGTTTTTGTTTCTAAATTATTTATGTGCCTACACATCAAAATAATCGTTCATCCATGTTCACTAGTATGTACTATCCTTTTTTGGCTTAATCGATTATAGATTCATTTATTATGAAATTTAACCTTCCCTTCATTTATGACCGAAAACCAATCATTATGACAATAATAAAATGTGGGACATATCAAATAGAAATTAACACGCTTCATATAAGATGGGCTTCATTTATTTGCCCTTTTCCTATTCTTATTTTATCATATATATTTATATGTGCAAATTGTAAGGAAAATCGTATGCACATCATAAACACACATTATGGATACAAATAGGATAGACATTGTAATACAAGACATATATGTATTTTGTCACTAAACTGTTGATATCCAACACTAGGGATTATCCAACACTTAGATTGTGGTTTACTGCTATGAACCTTAACGACAATATGAATAAACTAACATGGATTAACTGTTTGGATGAAAATAAATGACTGTTTTGAATAATGTTTTTGTATTAATCTATTATTAAAAGTCTAGCATTTAGTGTACATTTACACATCACAGTTATACTATTGATTAGTATATACGACTTACGTAAAGCAAGGAGTAGTAGTAGCAGTAGATTATTGTTGTTGTTGTGATGATCGTTGTGGTTGTTTCTAAAACCTGTCATTATTTAGAGCTAGGCATTATCATTTCGCTTAGGAATACATTTCTAGGACTGATATATGTTATTTTATCATTATTAAGCTGGTTTTTATACAATAACTTCAACTTTTCGACTTTTGACTTTGTTGAGTACTTATTGTGCTGTTAGTTAGAAATGTGCCATTTTGGATGTATATTTATTTTTATATTTGAATTCATAAGTCAATTAAAGGTAGACCACCATGGAAAACCTGGAAGCACTGGACGGCCGTTTCGTCCTAGCATGGGACTCCCCAGCAGTGCACATCTGCGATCCCACACGTGGATTCGAAACCAAGACCTTTGGTCTCGCGCGCGAGCATTTAACCTCTAGACCAGTGAGTCGGCATCCAATGGTGTTATTGTCTAACTTCATCCAGTCCACGAAATAGAGCCACCACCCATCACTGTCTTCAGTGAGTTGTTATCTCACTACGGACCCGGTTGAACTTCACTGATCTCAGCTTCTCAGTAGAACTCCAAAAGATACCTCTTGAAGCCAGTCAGTAGTGAGTATATTTATTTGTTATATATTTTACACTGTCTGAGTTCTCTTGTGTTTGATGGTGCTTAGTGTGATATTTCAATCTGATTATATATATATGCAAACTATGTTTAAATTGTGATTATAACTATTTCATTGAACTTTGAAATGTGGATAATCTTAACGCTACAACATTCACTAATTTAACTATCAACATAGTTTTATTATTCTATCTTAAACATGAAATTGTAATCACCAGAATAATGATTCACTCGAAATGATGTTAGTTATCGAAACTTACCCTTACTACCATTAATATCTACTACTAAATGAAGCAACTTTGGTACATAATTTAAATCTCCTTCTTGTACCGTATACTGATAAGGCACATAACATTGTCGTGTGTTTGTATGTTATAGCACTCACAGATTTAGTTGCTTGCATGTCAAATATAATATTTTTTCTTCAACGGTCGATTAATTGTGATTTTCTAATTCTGTTAAACGTGGTAACAGTGAGGTAGAATAAATAAAAGTGTTAAAACGTTATTTTTATCATAGAAACTGATAATAGTTTTAATCTCGGTTTCAATGAAAACACTGTATATGAACATTGATTTCAAACGTGAGAAAGTTATAGAAGTTTCGAAGAGGAGAATTTCCTATTCTGTAAAAAGAGCGTTATAAGCGGCAAGTTTTCAAATTATTTTTTCAAACCAATCAATGTTCATCTGAAATCCTACGGATAAATGATCTCAATTGACCAATTTTGTATGCTATAGTGCCGGTGAAATGTCACTGAGCCCAAGCCAAATCATCCGACAGTTGGGTCACTGATTATTGAGCATGTAATCGACCCCTATCAAAGTCAAAGACAAACAATGCGCATCGGTTAATCGTACGCCATGGACTGGCCAATTTGGTGGTGGTCTTACTATCTACTCTATACTCATTCTTACTTATATATTTCCATAATAATGTCCTTCGTGTTGTACGATCTTCCAATCATCCATAGTACCTCAATACGACGAAGGGATAATGCACGTTAGGTGCTGACTGTGAGATGCGATTTCGACGTTAGTTGTTGGTCACACCATTCACGTCTAACTGGAGTAGGCCCCCAGTCATTCGATATAGATCATTTACGTTGGTGCTTTACACATTATTATTATTGGTTATTAATCTCCCCAAAACAGGATTCATTTGCTTTGCATTCATCCCACCTTAATATGTCTTACCAATCATTTTTTACACAATATAGTCTTCCACTAAACATTTGATCGAATTATAATGGCACCATTATTTCTCTCACTTTATCTGATCCATATTTATTCTAAACATGGGAACTTAAAAATTTCACTTGACAAATAAGCTGATTCAAATTAACATTCCATATAAGTCATATCAACAACTTTATTCTATTTTGTTTGACAATCCTACAGTTTACATAACATAACTTTAAACGATGTACTTTGCCTTTAATCTGACCATTTTTGGGGGGATTATTAATATGGATATATTACATTATAGAACTTGAAGAGAATTGATCGAAAAGAATATTCTTCATTTATAGATTATTCTTTTAAGGATTATGGGGATCATTCACTTAAAGAATGTGACCTTGTGTCTAGTTTAATTTCCTTACTTCTACTTAATAAACTTTTGTTTATCATAATTAATATATGGTAAACATATTACATATTTGTTTATCTATCTTATCTATATGATAGTGCAAAAAATAAAACTACCTATAAATAAATCAACTCAATGAAAAATCATCTGTAAAATAGGTTGTTTACTTAACGATGAAATACTGCACAAAAACTACTAACCCCATACATTTGTTTTCAACTTAGAACATATTTTAAACGGCTCTAGTACTACGTTTAAAAACCATGTATTCAGATTTTTTATGCACGTATCATTCCCTCAACGTTAAAGATAACACGGATTTAAAGGGGACATACTTTTTTGAGGACGTAATAAGGTGAAGGCAAGATAGCTTAATCTAGGAAGTATACAAAAACATTCATATGCCAAGTGAGATATTAAAAGTAACATTTTTGGCAGTTTACCATCGGGTACATAACTTCGTTAGCGAGGTCAGCTTTAACTGTTTAATACCTTCTAAACTACATGTTTCTGAAAGCAGAAAACTTCTTTCAAACAAAAATCCGTACGGATTTTTTGACTAGTTTGTTTGGCTAAAGCATAATTTCATTAACCATCTATATATCACTCCTCTGATGAAATTTTAGGTATTTCTAATATGTAAACTTTGTTATTACTAAGAATATCTATCAAACGTACATTTTTGTCAATATTTTACTAACCCCACCTGGAGCTCTCCTACAGTTACTGCAGGTTCCAAGCCCAGGTAAGTAAGGAGCGTTGGGCATGCTTTGGGCAATCCTATTCCGCAAAAAATAATCTCGATAAAAGAACGCTAGCTTGGTTAAACAAAATGGTTAAAAGCGACACAATATTCCCATGCAAACGCATAAACAAAGCTACATGGGTCTCATTGGATCACAACACACAGAACCAGATAAATCATATTTTCATTACTAAAAAATTCACAAAGTCATTCGGAGACGTGGGGACAAGAAGAGGAGCTGACATAGCTCCAGATCATCATCTACCTGGTGGTTATCAAGAAGAAAACAGAAGCTAAAGAAACGATGGAAGACTGAAGAAACAACATTACAAAGGTTCAATACAGACTTCCTTCAAAATACTGACAAACATAACTAATTCAAGGTCGTTCTCAGCAACATAGAAGGCCTAGGTAATCTGAGGGATCCGGATCTTCTCATTTCATCCAAGCTGTCTGTGGAGGTATATAAGTTTCAAAACAAATACTTCTTTGAAGTTGACGCTGACCTAATTAGATACACCAGAGACACGGTCACGCATCCGCACCAGATCACGAGTGGATACGCTTTGCTACTCATCTCTTTCAACTGTTAGACAGCTTATATCAAGCGTTTCTCGACATATCGATAACTTTTTCAAATATATCCTCGAAATTCTGATTTGACTAGATTGGTATGCTTCAATTATAATGGTGTTGTGTGTAAAGGCGTTCTCAAACCCTGAATATGTATGGAGTTTTCAGTGGTGAACCCGACGTGATCTAATACACCAAACAGCAAACTGTGAGTTCGTTCATTTTCGTAGCGTTAATTATCAATTTTAGTTTTTACTTTTATATATCGTGATGTCATTTTTGTGCTCTTGGCTTTTTTTCGCCAATTTTTATATTTTATCCTCATGGGGACAAAACAGACACCCAAACTGTTAAAGATTAAGACTTCTAACAGTTAAGGTTGATTAGATTAGAGTCGAACTCAAACAACTAAGTATATAATCAGAGAAGGGTTTTAGTGGATATCATGGCAAGTTCAATGTTTGAGATCATGGATGAATTGAAGCTAGACCACCATGGAAAATGTGGAAGCACCAGAAGGCCGTTTTGCCTTACTGTGGGACTCTTCAGAAGTGCTCACCCACGATCCCGCTCCCCCCAGAGAGCTTCGAACACAGGACCTATCATTCTCGCGCTCGGACGCTTAATCCCTAGACCACTGAACCGACATCAACGGTTTTAATGTCTAACTTCAATCGATCCACGAACTTGAGCGACACATCCATCAATGTCTCCAGTGAGTTATTATCGCACAACAGACTCAGTTGAACTACTCTGGTCACTGATTCTCACAGGAACCCCAGGAAATACCTCTTGGAGACCGTCATTAGTGAGCATATGATGATTATAAGTATATGTCAAAACAATTGAGCTCAAGTATCAATTCACCTTCTTATTTCGTATAAGCACTAGATTTCTCATTATCTTATATTGAATGTTGAAAAGCTTTGTGTGTTTTGACAGGTAGCCACCCGCCCCATTCTGACTTTCCCACGATCGAAATAAAGACCTATTCATTACTAGTCTGGTTTGTTTTACCAAATGAACGATGGTCACCTACAGGCATGAAAGACTCTTTCGCCTCCTCCCTTCAGCTCATGCCATTCTGGTCCGGCAATGTCGAATTCCGGTTCTGTTACACAG